GGGGGGGGTGGGAGGGATGGGGTGGCTGGGTGAGAGACATTGGGGAGGGTATGTGCTATGGTGAGCGCTGTGAATTGTGCAAGACTGTTGAATCACAGATCTGTACCTCTGAAACAAATAATGCAATATATGTTAAGGAAAAAAAAAAGAAGAAGAAGAAAATAGCACGAGGGGAAGAATGAAGGGGTGTAAATCGGAGGCGGAGATGAACCATGAGAGACGATGGACTCTGAAAAACAAACAAACAAACTCTGAAAAACAAACTGAGGGTTCTAGAGGGGAGGGGGTGGGGGGATGGGTTAGCCTGGTGATGGGTCTTAAAGAGGGCATGTTCTGCGTGGAGCACTGGGTGTTATGCACAAACAATAAATCATGGAACACTACATCAAAAACTAATGATGTAATGTATGGTGATTAACAGAACAATAAAAAAATTAAAAAAAACACTGGAAAAGGCAGACTGTATTATTTTTAAAGAATGAGCAGGTACAAAGGTACCTCCTACAAAGGTAGAAGAATCTCTCAAAAACATGTCCTCTTCTGTCAGAGAGCAGCTGTGTTTTCCAAACCAGAAAGGAAGGCTCAAGAGGAAATCTAAAATCTTGGCTCAGGTACCAGCCTGGGCACAACGAGCTCTGAAAGTCAGGCAAGTCCCTTCATTTCTGTGTGCTTCCATTTATGCCAATTTCTATAATAATTACACTATTACTATGAAAATTGCCCTTACACTTTTATTATTAATTTTCTTCACAAATGCACCACACATGTTAAACTCGACATGTTAGTTGAGTTTATTCTTAAAAAAGGATGTGGCTTCCTATATCCATCATCAAAGTGCCAGAATAAGCTTTTAACTCGATGACACGGATATTCAGCAACTAAAATGATTATATATTTTTGTATTTCACACGTGTATATTTGGAACATGATATACAATAAATGTTGTGGAATACATGAATAAGCAAACTAATCCATCCATTCATCCCTCTGTCTCTCAGGTGTGTTTTTTTTTTAAAATACTAAGGTTCACTTAGACTAAATTAGGCATGGAGTTGTTACCAGGAATAAGCTAGTTTAGCTAAGGATATGTCATGTGCAAGAGTGCGAGAAAACCTGCCTAGGGATTAAGAGATGTGAGTTCCAGTCCCAGCTCCGTTATTAACTTTCTCTTAATATTTAACTTACATGGTCCCAGTCTCCCCATCTATGAAAATGCAGATATTAAAATCTTCCCATCATAGATGGGGACAAACAAAATAATAGATATGGGATGGAGAAGACTTTGAGAAAAAAATCCAAGTACATTATAAATAAATGATAACATCAGCTTCTGATTTCATGCTCATAAAGGAGCTAGATTTAGTAGTATGAAGTAAAGCCTGTGAAATGAAAAGCACATTCTCAGGCAACTAGATCCTCTGCTGCATTTTCTCCTAGAGGCTGAGCACCATGCCCCTTCTACACTTCCTCAAATGACACTCATCTTTAATTTCTCTCCAAGTCACCAGTGAACACGACTCTCCTTTTACTTCCGCTATATTCTCCTCAGGGCCTACACTGAGGAGACGCTCCCCAGGGACACCTACGTAAGTGCTCATGGAATCTGCCCATGCTGACTTGGGGTCCTAGTTTTCTTTTCCAAATGGACTATACAACATATGTCTTTTCTAAAAAAGTTTATTGAGATATATAACTTATATACTATAAAATTCACCCTTTTAAAGTGTACAACTGGGTTGTTTTTAGTATATTCATAGTTATATAATTGTTACCTCCATCCAATTTCAGAACATTTTCATCACCCCAAAAGGAAACTGTACCCACTAGAACTCACTCCCCACTTCTTCCCCTCTTTTCCCAGCCCTTGGCAACCACTAATCTATTCTTTGTTTCCATGGGTTTTGCCTATTCTGAACATTTCATATTAAGTGGAATCATAGAATGTGGTCTTTTGTGACTGGCTTCTTTTACCATAAATACTTGGTAATAACAGAGCTTTCATCCCAAAATTACTCCTCCAAAAAGAGGAGATGCTTTTCTTTGGCAATGTTATAAAGGCTTTCATAAGGAGGGACATTCTCTCACTTTACTTTGAACAAGAGTGGTATAAGCCAACATTTTAGAAACTCTGACTAGAGCCTAATTAATTACAACACTACATAGATATACAAGTGTCTTTTGCTTGTCCCCACTGTTCAACAAAAGTTTGAATGAAATGTGAATGGGGAAAAAAGCAGTATTTCTATATTAACATAGCTTATATATATAATCATTTCAAATGTGTTTACAAAACTAAATAAATTATCCTGTATATACATATATATCACTATTTCATCTAGTTCCCTAGAAGTTCATAATTCAAAACAGATCTTCTCATTTGAAATATAAAGGAGATTATTTTATATTCAAAATTGTTTTATATTTGGAACTATGAACTTCCAGGATCATTCAAATGCATGGTCAGATCTGATGATATTCATCAAAATCACTGACTTCTCTAGGATTTAAATAAGTAGTTGGAAATCCAGTTCTTAACAAATGTCTCAAGAGAAAACTGAACTTTGAAAGTAAGTATCATATAAAAATTGAGTGGGGTGATTTTATTTATTTGAGAAAAGACATGTTAGGGAAGCAAGGGCTTTTAGGGGTTGCTGCCAATTCCTTCACTTTTGTGATGAAATGATTGAGGCTCAAAGAGGCTAAATGACTTTCCTGAGATCATCTGGCATGAGGGCTTCTGTGCTCAGTGCTTCATGTGAATGATTTCTTAGTGTTCCCATAAACCCTAATCATGCCGCACTTTACAGCTGAGGTTTAGAGAGGGTAAATAACTTGCTTCAAGTCACACAGCTAGTACAATGGTAGAGCTGGGATTCCACTCAGGTCCCTCTGGCTTCAGAGCCAGAGGGCTCTCCACCATTTGCTAAGTTACTCTTCAGCTTACTTATAAAAAGCTGAAGCTCCCTACAAGAGCCCTTTTCCTGGAATCACATGGTTTAAAAAAGCACTGAGCCAGGTTTGGCATTTCTAAACCCAGCTGGAGCAGAAGAAAACATCATTAGAAATTATTGACAAAATAAGAGAAAAGGGGGAAAGAGAGCAGGCCTACAATGATTTTTGAAGTCTATAAATAATCTGACAGGAGGCAAGTTAGTCAAATGAAGTCAACATTACCTGGTTAATTCTCTCAGGCGAGTCACCTCAGCATCACGCTGACGTAATGTTATTCCCAATATTTGATTTTCCTTTTCAGCAGCTTCTAACTTAAACCGGGAGCTTTTCACATTGACCAAGGCTTCCTCCAATTCTGAAACCACAAAAAAGTTTCAGTTTCCTCAATCTTTTGAAAAAATGTAACCATAACTACAATTCAAATACATACCAATTTTTATTCTTGTTGTCTCAATGTCAAATTGTTGTTTATTTTCAAGTAAAGTTTGATCTTTCTCTTTAAATATACCAGCAAATTTTTTGTTTTCATCTTTCTGATTTTCAATCACTTTTAAAAGTTCTTCATTTTTACTCTGCAGTAATTCCTGGCTCTTCAGTGACTCTTGTAATTGGTTTTGCAGGGACTTGTTCAATGACTGAAGGGAAAACACTGCAAGACAAAACAGATCAAATAATTGTTGCCTGAATTTAAAAAGCACAAACCTGGAGAAGATCTGCTTTTAAAAAAGAAAAGATCTGGAATTTATTGATTTTGCTCAACAATTATATGCTTGAGTAGTTCTATATAAATACTAAATATATTTTTAATATTTGATGCAGAAGTCATATCTTTCTTCTCCAACTGATATCTGAGGCATCAAAAAATTTTTTTTTACCTTTTTTAATGAAATAATAATACATGCACAAAGTAAAAAAAATTCAAACATTATGAAATAGCAATGATACCAAATGATTCTCAATGAAGAATCTTCCTCCCCACCCTATCTCTGCTCTCCTCCTAAAGACAATCACTATTAACTTTGGTATCTTTCTGGAAAAATACCTGTGCATATAACATATATATTTAAAAAGAGATGACTCATACTGTACCCATAGTTTCTAACCATGCCTTTTTCCCCCCCCATGAGATTGATATGTATCGGCACAGAGATCTATCATTCTCTTTAATGGCTATAAAAGTCTACGGCGCCATTCACTTAACAAATGCAACCTTGAGTGAAGACTTACTATGTGTGAGGCACGGTGTTCGAATCTGGACGTACAGTGATAATTAGCAGACATGGTCCCTACTCTCAAAGAGCTAATAACAAACAAGTAATTATAAATAGTGATAAATGCTCTCAAGGGAACAATAAGGTAAATGAGCAGAGACTACAAAGAGATTAGCTCTTTAGCACGGCAACCACCAATCTCCCCATTTCCCATCTTGGCCTCCTTTCCCGCCCACCCCCACGGCCACTGTTTATTCATAGGGGAATCAGAGTGACTTTTTCCAGAAGTACTCTGGTGAAGATGAGCACTTTTATGAAGTGTGTGTTCTTTGGGGTGGTCATATTTTTCTTACTGCTTTGTAAGAGCTATTTATATATTAAAAAAATTAAGCCTTTGTCATATCATGTATTATGAAAACATTTTCCCCATTTTGTTGATGTGTTTTAAATGTGTTTATAAATTTGCTGCGTAGAAAGTGAAAAAAAATTCTGAGGACAAATTTTATCATCTTTTCCTTTGTGGCATCGGAGTTTTGTCAGGCTTAGGAAAAGATCCCAAGAATACAAAAACAAACAAAAAAACAAACAGTTCTCATCTTTTCCTCTGGTACAGTTTTTTTTCCTTTTATTCTATTATTTTAAATGCCATGATCCATAAGCACAATTTGGCAATATCTGTCAAAATTACAACTGTATATCTCCTTTGACTCAGTCATTCTATAGCTATCATCTACAAAATGCTCACATATGTGCACAAAGACATATGTATAAGACTTTTACTACAGCACTGTTTGCACTGGGAAGATACCTAGATAACGATCATCAGAGAACTTCAAATACGTTATGATGGAACCACATAAGCAGAATATCCGTACAGTTCTTAAACAAAAAGAAAAAGACCCACTAGATTTTATTGGGGCAGGGAGCTAAGAGGGCGGTGTAGTAGGAGGACCCTAGGCTTGCCTCGTCCCTTGAACACAGTTAGATAACTATCAAATCATTCTGAACAGCCAAGAAATTGATCTGAGGACTGACAGAACAAACTGCACACCTAGACGGAGAGAAGAGGCCACACGGAGGAAGAGAGGAAGTGCAGAGATGTGGTTTGGGGGAGAAGAACGTCGCAGGTACTGCAGAGGGGAGGGAGCCCTGGTCACAGAGAAAGCGAAGGGAGACTGGGGCACCCAGGGATACCTACAAGGAGAACAGTTGCCCAAAGCCAATGGCTGGGAAAACGAGAGGGGCTGGTTTTCCTGAGAGTTTGCAAACAGCAGGGCTCAAAGACTGGAGTTTTAAAGGTCCCTGGGCTTGGCTGGGATAGAGTTCTGAGGGCACTGCCCTGCTCCTGGAGAGAAGGCAGGCAAGCAACCCCAGGGCAGACAGCACAATGTGAGGATCACCTAAGGGGCCCAGGGAAAGACTGTTCCTACTTCCGGGAGCACATCTGTGAGAGCTGGTATTGCCTCTCCACAGACAAAAGAGCCAGCAGGTGCCATTTCCTTCTCCCACCCCCTCACCAAAGGTGCAGTGACACCTGCTGAGGGCAACTAACCAGGACACTGGCTGTTTAACCAGCTTGCTCCAAATCCCACGCCCCTGTCCTCTGGCATAACTGCCCTTCTGTCCCAGTGCAGCAAGACCCTCCCCCGGGAGACTAGCGCAAGTCTCTACCACACCAGGTCCACAGAGTTTGGAGTTTTAAAAGTCAGCAGGCTTGGCTGGGATAGAGCCCAAAGTGCTGTGCTGCTCCAGGCAGGCAAGCGACCCAGAGACAGACAGTATAAAAACAGCAATCTGAAAAATGCACAGGACACGCAAGAGGAAATTATTCACTCTTCTGAGAGGGCCTCCCTGAGAGCAGCAAGCATTGACTCCCTTCTCTGGGAACAAAGGGGCTGGCTGGCACCATTTCCCTCCCCAACCCTCAGCATAAAACAATTTGGTAAGCGGCACAGCACCAACACTGGCTCCTAATCTGCTCACACCAAGTCCCACCCTGCGCTCTACTGGTACTGCTTTTCTCGGACAAGTCTGTTTAAGGACCAGTGCAGCAGGCCCCTTCCCAGAAGACCAGCACAAACCCCTGCACGCACCACGTCTACCGACCAGAGAGTTCTGCAAGGCTTCAGTTCTAGTGGAAGTAGCATCAAGTCTCATTTAACAAGCAGGCCAGAGATACCTACTTAAAACTCGCCACACTCTGGCCAAGGTTCAAACACTGCCCACAGCAGGTAAGGAGAACCTCTGCAGACGACTGACCTGAGGGACAGAGTAGCCAACACAGCAGCTGAGTGCACGCAGCACACATCAGAGATGCTCTCTGAAGCACCAGGCCCTGGACTGGACACTGTATGACCTCTTCTTCATAAAGTCATTATTCTCAGGAGCAGGAAACATCACAGGCTTTCCTAACACACAATAGAAGACAGAGACCTAGACAAAATGCCAAGACGGAGGAATTCATCCCAAAAGAGCAAGAAAAGGTCATGGCCAGAGATCTAATCAAAACAAATAAAAAGAAAAAAAGAAACACATATAAGTAATACGTCTGAATGAAAATTTAAAACAACAATCATAAGGATACTTGGCTGGACTTGAGAAAAGCATGTCAGACTTCAGAGAGGCCCTTACCACAGAGATAAAAGAGTGAAAAAACAATCAGGCAGAAATGAAAAATGTAATATCTGAGATTTGAAACCATCTGGATGTAATGACCACAAGGATGGAAGAAACAGAGGAACAAATAAGTGAAATAGAAGATAGAGTTATGGAAAATAACGAAGCTGAACAAAAGAGAGAAAGAAGAATGATGGATCACAAGAGTAGACTTAGGGAACTCAGTGACTCCAGTAAATTTAATAACATTTGTATCACAGCAGTCCCAGAAGAGAGAGAAAAGGGGGCAGAAGGTTTATTTGAGGAAATAAAAGCTGAAAACCTCCCTAATCTGGGGAAGGAAAACAGACATCCAGGAGGCAGAGAGAACTCCCATCAAAATCAACAAAAGCAGGCCAACACCAAGACATATTATAGTTAAATCTGCAAAATACAGTGATGAAGAAAAAAATTCTAAAAGCAGCAAGACAAAACAAGTCCCTAACTTACAAGGGAAGACCCATAAGGCTAGCTACAGATCTCTCCACAGAAACTTGACAGGCCAAAAGAGAGTGGCATGATATATTCAATGTGCTGAATGGGAAAAATCTGCCGCCAACAATACTCTATCCAGCAAGGCTATCATTCAGAATAGAAGGAGAGATAAAGAGTTTCCCAAACAAACAAAAACTAGAGGAGTTCATGAACACTAAACCAGCACTGCAAGAAATATTAACGGGGACTCTTTCAGTGGGACGGAAAGACCAAAAGTGACAATGACTAGCAAGGAACAGAGAAAATCTCTCGAAACAACGACAAAACAAGTAATAAAATGGCACTAAGCACATATCTATCAATAATTACTCTGAATGTAATGGACTAAATGCTCTAATCAAAAGACATAAGGCATCAGAATGGATAAAAAAATAAGAGACTCATTTTAGACCTAAAGACACCTGCAGATTGAAAGTGAGGGGATGGAGGGGCGCCTGTGTGGCTCAGATGGTTGAGCATCCAACTCTTGGTTTCGACTCAGGTCATGATCTCATGGGTTATGGGGTCAAGCCCCGTATCCAGCTCTGCACTCAGCGGGGAGTCTGCTTAAAGATTTTCTCCGTCTGCCCCTCCCCCGACTTGTATGCACTAAGGTAAATAAATAAATCTTAAAAAGAAAAGAAAGAAAGTGAGGGGATGGAGAAACATCATGCAAATGGATGTCAAAAGAAAACCAGAGTAGCAATACTTACACTGGACAAACCAGACTTTATTTTTTTTGGTTTCACTTTTAGAAGATTTTATTTGTTTGAGAGAGAGAGTGCGAACGCACGAGTGGGGGCGGGGCAGAGGGAGAAGCAGACTCCCTGCTGAGCACAGAGCCCCACATGGGGCTCAATCCCAGGACCCTGAGATCATGACCTGAGCTGAAGTCAGATGCTTAACCAACTGAGCCACCAGGTGCCCCAAAACTAGACTTTAAAGCAAAGACTATAACAAGAGATGAAGAAGGGTATTGTATCATAATAAAGGGGACTATCCAACAAGAAGATACAATGATTAAATATTTATGCCCCCAACCTGGGAGCATCCAAACATATAAAATAATTAATAACAAACATAAAGGAACTCATTGATAATAAAACAGCAATAGTAGGGGACTTTAACACCCTACATATCAATGGACAGATCATCTAAGCAGAAAATCAACAACGAAACAATAGCTTTCAATGATACACTGGACCAGATGGACTTAACAGATATATTCAGAATATTTCATCCCAAAGCAGCAGAATACACAGTCTTTTCAAGTACACATGGGACATTCTCCAGAACAGATCATATACTA